TGTATTTGTTTCTCTATTGTTTTTTCTTGTTCTTAACCTGTTGTGAAGCACTTTGGTTAACTGTTCCTTTTAAATGTGCTATACAAACACATTTTGAATTGAATTGAATCAACCTGGGGATGTGAGCTGCTTTATAAAAATCACCTGAAGAAGAATCTGCTGCGCACACATGAGGAAGTTTCTCCATAAAAGCAGGTAAAACCGTCTCTTTGCAGGTGAAATTTGAAAAAAGGTTAAAGGCAATGAAATGGCAAATATCAGATCCACACAAAACTGAAACTGTTCTCTGCACTACAATGTGATGCAACATGATTTACTCAAGTACCTTACTGAAGTAAACTTTGGATGTACTTGTTAATATGCAAACATTGTACTTTAAAGTTTTATTTCCTTCTTATTTTACAGATGTTCTACATGATGCTGCAGCAGAGGGGAATTCATTCAAACCATCTGCAGCTGCAACATTAAAATGAATAATATTATTATTATTCGTGTTTTCAGGCTGTGGTGGAGACACTTTCGTGCGGCGCAGTGGGCTCGCGTTGTCTCCACCAGCCCGTCTCACACGTGTCAGCTTCAGGTATGCAGCTGCCTCCGCACGCGCCTAATGAGCGTCCGGGACATAGCGGGCTAACCTCAGGCGCAAACGCGGTGGCTTCCTCCGGATGAGCTCAGGCCACAAACCCGGGCTGGAAGTCTTGGGTAGGCTGGACGATTGCGCTGAAGCGGATCTTCAATTTTTATCCTTCTTTTTCTGCAGCTGCTTCTTCTTCTTGTCTGACTGTACTTCCGTTGTTCCACCACCTCCGATCCGCATCATCGCCACCAGCAATAAACGAGCTTCCGTGACCTATGGAGGGCCTCACTTGCCAAAATAAGTCAAATTATTACATCATTTAACAATTAATTAAACACATGTCATTAACTAATTAAAAATGGAAGTAATTAAGTAGCTAATTGATTAAAGTATAATTAATTAATTAAATTATTTTTCTTTGAAGTTTGTAAAATATTTTGTTTGCAATTTCAGAATCAGCATACTTTAAGGAAAATGATGTGAGTTACAGTTGCTCCAGTACAGTAACAGTAAGAAAAACAGGCTAGACTATTTAACCATATAATATGTTACAGATTTAAGAAATAGCACAGTATATACACAAATCATACCATACCATACCACCTTTATTTATAAAGCACTTTAACATAAAACCAGAGTTCACAAAGTGCTGTACATGCTAAAAGCAAATTAAAATGAGATAAGATAAAATAAATAACTAAAAAAACTAAAATAAATTAAAACATGTCAAAACAAATTGAGTCAACCCCTCTAATCAATGCCAAAGGCTTCAGCGAATAAATATGTTTTAAGAAGACTTTTAAATTCAGAGAGAGAAGAGGCCTGCCTAACATGCAAGGGTAGATCATTCCACAACTTTGGAGCAACTACAGCAAAAGCACGATCACCTTTAGATTTATACTTAGTTTTTGGTACCTTAAGGAGCTGCTGATTGGCGGACCTAAGGGAACGGGGAGGTGTATATGGTTGTAGTAGCTCCGAGAGGTAGGGGGGGGGCAGGCCATTAAGAGATTTAAAAGCAAATAAGAGAATTTTAAAAACAATCCTAAAATGTACAGGTAGCCAGTGGAGTGAAATCACTCCATAATGGGATTGACAGAGGTGGTTATAAATAAATATCAAGAATACTGGCAGCAATATTACTGAGTAGAAAGAGGGTGTGCAAAAACAGGGTGTAACTATTGCAGTGTTTACAGTGTGTTAGATGGAGGAGTTGTACAGGGAGACGGCCACAGGCAGGAATGATTTCCTGTGTTGGTCAGTGGTGCTTTTGGGTCATCTCGGTCTCCCACTGAATGTGCTCCTGTGGCTACCCAGTACGTCATGGAGTGGGTGGGAGGTATTGCCCAGTATTGTCTTAATCTTGGACAACATCCACCTCTCAGACACCACCCTAACGGAGTCCAGCTCCATCGCCACAACATTACTGGCCTTGTGGATCAGTTTATTTAGTCTGTTGGCATCTGCGACCCTCAACCCGCTGCCCCAGCATGCAACAGCGTCGTGGATGTCACTGGCCACAACTGACTCCTGATTGACTGATTGATATGAGCCAGCAGCCTTTGAACAGCTGCAGTTAGGAGGATGTTTTCTTGCAGAGTTTTCTTCTAGGATGTGGAAAAAGCCTGATGGTACAACAACAGAAGTCTGACTTCTTTGATGCTGAGGAAAGAATTTCATTGTCCTCCAAATTTATCTTCTGAACATCTTCAAACTCTGTTTTGATGTGTCCAGCTGAAGAATAGTGGTTGAACAAAACAAGCCTTTAACCAGTGTTTATGTGTGCATCGGCTCATAAGTTCTGCTGCATGTCTGACACTTGTAAGACAGACAAACATTCATCCTCATGGATGTCTCAGAACTGTGGGAGGAAGCCCGGGTTCGTGTAGAGAAGCCACATAGGGACACGGATGGACTGATGTGACCACTGCACCACTTATTTCTTTCTTTTTTCCCCACTGCAGGACAGAAATCATTCATTCTTGGGGAGCATGGCCAGACTTTAGGCTGGAATTGATGCACTGTAGAGCTGCACCTGTTTGTGATAGGCAGAACTATTAGTGTACTATTAAAAGTTAAATAAAGGTTCTCTTTATTCAGCTGCAGAGATACGGCTCAGTGTTCCTCTGTGTTTGTCTCCATCTAGTGGACAATCACATTTACTACATGCCAGCTTGCTCCCCCACCTTCAATAAACCAATTGTTGTATTATTAACTGGGTCTGTTTATATTTTGCAATAAGTGGTGAACTAAGAGTTTTCGGTGACTGACTGTGAGAAGTTTTAGCATCACAAACAGGAGAAAGGTTATTGTGCCATCTCAGCAGAGGTGGTGGGTTTCTGGGAGTTTTGTGGAGACTTCTGGTGCATTTGTTTTTTCATTTCTGCTCCCTCAGCGTAGTTTGTCTGCACCACTTGTTTCATTTATAACCCTAAATCAATAATAGACCATTACTTCAGCTCTGAGTGGGCTATTTATATAGACCATAAAATAAATAATCAAACAACAAGAAATAGTTTCCCAAAAGTTAATGAAAGTATTTTATTTACTTCATCGCGTTTCCGTTCTTATGATCTAATTTAAAACCTGCTTTATTCAATGTTAACTTTAAACCGTAACAACGCTATCAATAAAGGTTATTAAAACCCCCATTAGCTGTGTCCCTCCGCCCCGATGTTTAAAACTCCTCTCCCTCTTCTGCCACGTTTTTGCTCCTCTCCAGAGGGAGGAACGACACTGGGAAGCAGCGCAGGAATCTGATTGGTGAGAAAACACAAGAACCCGCCTGTTGCCCCACCCACACACTCATTAGGCAGCTCTGATTTGTGAACTACTAAGCCAATCACGGTTACCATGGACTTTGGCTTTGCTGGTATCCAAGTGAGGACGTGATTTTTGGTGAACGCGTCGCTCCATCGCACAGAGCGGAGAGCAGAAAGCGAACAGGAGCTTTCACCGCGACAACCACGGCCAGGTTAGAGAGTCACCTCATCGCTGCTTGACTGAAACAAACATCGGATACTTTACGAAGCAATGGCGCAGAGAAAGAATCCCAGAAACCACTCAAAAAAAGGTACGTACCCTTTATCTGACTGGGTTCTCCCGCCTGTGTCTCTAATTCAGACTTCCGTTTAACATTCTGCAGTTTATAGCTATTTTCAGTCTTTGGAAAGGATCGCGTGTAGTACATCAAAAGCGAGAATATATTTTTAATCCATAAGATTAGTTCTTCGATTCGGCTAATACACTAATACAAAATATAACGTAGACTCCTACTTTCGGAGGTAGATCTCCCGTGGTTCCAACAGCGAAAAGTGCGCACTGCCTGGCGTCCTGAAGCGTCATTAACATGCTGTTAAATATCTAATTATAATAAACGCATCACAATTGCTGTATTTTACTGAAGCCGAGTGGAGAAGTGGTTTTTAAATATTCCCCCAGATGTCGTATTTTATGTTTATAACGTGTAGCGCCGTCTCTAAACAAATGCATATTCGACTGGAAGAATTTTCAATGGAGTCTGGTTGGATGTTCTCGCGATACAAGAGAGCGGGACTGGTTTCGCCCCTTTCTCTGCTAGCGCTGCTAAATGATCACAATAAAGCAGACTCCCAGTTTAACCTCCCTGATACATCCCGGCATGCTCTGTGTGATTATAGCTTCATTGCCCATCGGTAACATGAAAGTGGCCGTGGAAACGACGCTAAGCTAACCTAGCCTCCATCAATAACAGCCTGCTAACGGCAGCTAACTTTCTCCCAGGCAGCAGTGAGGGGTTCATGTTATCTCTGTTCTCTGTGCGGGAGTTTACTGGCCCCGCTCATTATTTACACATTTATAAGCCCGATATAAACCGGGTTATTCCTCACTGCAGTCTGTAATTAATTTAAAGGGCAAAAACACATGAATCATGCTTTCACTGACATTCCTGAGACAGTCTGAGGTCTTTACACAGGGTCCCCAAAAGCCTGAAATACAAACACATATAATTTCACATCAAAGATAAATGTTGGGTGTTACAAAGTGCTCACTGCTGCTGCTGTAACATTTTAGCTTTTAAACATCCAACAGTGTTACCTCCACGTTTCTCTCACACATGCTTTCCATTTGTAACAACACATGCAAACATCTGTTCGATCAGGTGAGAGCAAGAATAACACCCGTTTGACATCCGTGACTGTGTGCACACACAACTCTGACACGCACACACACACACACACACATATAAACACACACACATAAACACACACACAGTGACGAGTGATGGATCGTAAGGTTCTTATCACATAAAAGCAGAACTGGCTGTAATGAGGTACTCTAAGACCAGAGCAGCCTCTTCATGGTTGTTAATACAAACAGGAAGTTTGCTTTTTTTTCACAAACCATGAAGAGTGCCCCCCCCCCCACACACACACACACGTGTTACTAGAGCCTCTTTATTTTTCATGTGTCCAAATGCCCAAACATCGTGTGTAACCCTCCACGCTGGTGCGAGCTTGTAAACCTGTGATATGAGCACTGGGAATAATTTTCCGACCACTGTGAGGAAATCTTGGCTGAATATAAAAGCACCTGGAACAGCTGGCTTTTGATGTACTTGTTCAGCTGCTGTTTAAAAGGTGGCTGGAGACCACAAACAAAATCGTTGTGATTTCCAATCAGCTTCCAGTGTTGTTGCTAAGGAGACGGACCACTCACAGTCAGCTGCTGTCTTCAGAGTGACTTTGGTGGGTCGAGGTAGAGATAAAAGGGTAATACAGCTGAGTCGCTCTGCTATCAGTTCATTAGAATCAAGTTGGCAATTCCAGAAGTTGCTTCACAAATAGTGATATAGTTGCTGAAGGGCAGCAGCGTTACTGTAAAACGACACAGGTTGGTTTTTATACAGGCAGCCGAGTCAGCGCTGGAAAGATAAGCTGTGCTCATCAGTGCACCACTATCACACTTGTTCGCTTGCAAAACTGCCACACTTATGAGGGTGTTATCCACCATTAACACCCACTTCACTCAGAGCCCCAACAGCTGTGTGAAGCGCTCTCTCAGGGATGTTTTCAGTGGTTCCCTGCTGTGGTTCAGGACCAGTACAGCACCTTGGTTTTTCTGGCGTGGCCGTACTACCTGCTGATTATTTCTGAAACGCCGCAACAGCTGAGAGAGTCCAGAAATGCCGGTGTCAAGGTTATGCGGGGGCTATTCTGTCCTCTCTGGCATCTCTCAGCCAGCGTCGCAGGGTTTGTCAGCTCTAATAATAGTGTGGATCAGGTTCAGCAGCCCGTCACAATCCCTGTGCTGCTGGGAGGGAGAGGAGGAGGAGCTCCTTCACTCTTTGTCTTTGCTCGGAGACGCTGAGAGTCGCTGAAGCTTTTTGACGATCGTTCGTTTAGAGTCTTTGTTCTTTCGGATTGTTTTTGTCTCCTTCTGTCACTTCGTTGAGATCCTCCTCGAACTTTTAAAGCTGCTTGTTTTCTTCAAGCACGCCGTCACCTGGTTGAGAAGACTCCGATAGTTTTGGTGCGTTAATCTTCGGTCTGTGACGTCTTCAGGTTTTGTCCTGCAGGTCAGTTTCATCTTGTGCGTGAAGGAGCTTCACTTTCTGCTTTTAATGTTTTTGATGCTGGTTTAGTGTGGTGCTTCCACCCATGGAGCGATACCGCCACTACGGCACCTCCTACACCTCCTCTCCTGGTGCAGCTCATGTAGAGGAGATCCACGCCGAGGAGGAGGTGGAGGAGGTGATGTACACTGAAGAGGAGGTGGAGCCGCTGTTAGAGGATGAAACGCAGCCTCTGCTGCAGGAGACAGGTAGGACTGAGGCATGCATGAGGTTTGGTTCAGTTTAGGTTTGGCTCTCACCTGGTCGGGTTTGGCTCGTTTAGGAGGCGTGAAGGGGGAGGAGGAAGTGACACGTGCACAGAAGGAAGTGCAGCCTGTTGTCCAGGAGACAGGTAGGACAGGCATGGACTGGCCCGGTTTGGAACACTTCTTAGAAGGTCAGAGTTTCGTGTGGTTTCACCTCGTATGGTGTGCAGCATGCTTTTAACACAAACTCGGCTACATCCTGTGGCAGCTTTTCACAATAAAAGCTGCCAAGATGAACCCTGGTGATGCTGTGAAGGCTTGTGGTGATTTTGGTGTGAAGCGAATGTGTCTCAGCATCAGTTTGTTGGCGTCGGTATTCAGATTACACGTCATTGTGTCCAATCCAAAATCTTTTAACATCAGGTTTAGGTTTAAGCAGACTTTTCACCGGAGCAACGCTGTTTCTCTGTAGGCTTCCAGCAGGTACAGTGATAATGTTTTTATAGGAATCGTACAATCGCAGTTGTTGCATCGCCCTGATTTTCAGTTACACTTTGATGAAGGTTACGGTGCAGGGTGGGAGGTCGCTGCGCAGCTGTGGATTGAATTTCCATCCAAAGTGTAAATTCCCAGTAACTCAGACAAAGTACTTGAAACCCAAAGTGACCAAAGTTTGCTTGAGTTTCTCGGGTTTGTGGGACGTCAGGTCAGCAGTGATGAGGACGATTTACTGGGTTTACTGGGCTGTAAAGTCCACGTTCCCACCCTGAGAGAGGTGTGTGAGGGTCGTGAGTAAATGTCCATGCCTTACTTGGATACTGGAAGCTGCTGTTTGCTGTGCTGTAGCAGTGCTTGGTTACACAAAGGGGGTTTGTGTCACACGCTGGAATTGAACCAGCAATCATTTACTTAAACCCGCAGCAGGGTGGGGGCGCCGTGGCTGCTTCGATGACTTTGGCTCCGTCCACACTCGCCCGGATAAGTTTGAAAATGTCTGAAAGCGCTCCGCGTCCACACTGGCGCTTTCAGTCGTTTTCACAGAGTTGTGCGTCCACATTGAAACAACTGAAGCGCTTACGGTCCAGTCCTGCACATGCGTGAAACACAAGAAGCTTCATTTCTGTCTGCCGTTTATTAGTTTCCGGCTCTTTGTAACGTCGCGGCAGAATGTCGAGGGAAAGCACCGAGTTATTTAAACGGACTCACAATGAGGTGGAGTTGTTGCTGCGAGTAACACAAAAGTACAAAGTTGCAAAAGTGAGTGAGAGTTAAAGAATTTGAGGAAAAGCTCTCTGGAGCATCTACAGACTGATATTAATCTTTAATAAGGCTGTCAAACACCTGCTGTATAACGCCCTCCGCTATCTTAGTTTCATTGGTCACATGACTGCATCACATGACTAACATGTGTCATCGTTTTTGAGAAGGCTCAGGGTTCGCTGTCCACACCGCAATGCGAAAACGGCGTTTTCAAATGTGTCCGCTTTGGAGAACGTTTCCAAAGGTTTCTGCAAACGGCGTCTCAGTGTGGACGTAGCCTCAGTGTGGACGTAGCCTCAGTGTGGACGTAGCCTCAGTGTGGACGTACCTCAGTGTGGACGTACCTCAGTGTGGACGTAGCCTAAGTGTGGACGTAGCCTAGTGTGGACGTAGCCTCAGTGTGGACGTAGCCTAAGTGTGGACGTAACCTCAGTGTGGACGTAGCCTCAGTGTGGACGTAGCCTCAGTGTGGACGTAAGCCTCAGTGTGGACGTAGCCTTAGTGTGGACGTAGCCTTAGTGTGGACGTAGCCTCAGTGTGGACGTAGCCTCAGTGTGGACGTAGCCTCAGTGTGGACGTAGCCTCAGTGTGGACGTAGCCTCAGTGTGGACGTAGCCTCAGTGTGGACGTAGCCTCAGTGTGGACGCAGGTGTGGACGTAGCCTCAGTGTGGACGTAGCCTCAGTGTGGACGCAGCCTCAGTGTGGACGCAGCCTTAGATAACCGTAACCTTTGCTCTTTAAACTCTAAAGCGAGCTCTTCGTGCTGGTGTCTGAACCAGGTGAAACTCACAGCACCTTAGCTGTGACCCACTAACACTGCCGGGTGTTTATCGGCCACATCAGCACCGAGGTGATGCTTCTTCCATCACTGCTGTCATTACGTGCTGCTTTCTACGGTCTTTAGTGCTTTTAGAGACACTTGAGGTGTTTTAACCGCACACGTGTTGAACGCAGCCTCGGGCTATTTCAGGAGTGCTCTTAGTGACATTTTCACGCAGTGCAAAAGCAGACAGCTGTTCTTTATCTGCAGCCTGTTCAGTCCTGAAACAGCTGTTGTCATCTCTCTCTCTGTTGGGGTCATATTGACTCAGTGTCTCTCGCTCTATTCCTGGGTCGGGTTGTCCTTTGTGGAGCCATGTTGCCCCTCTCTCTGTTCCCTCTTTGTTTTTCCTGGACGTTCAGACTTTCACCAGAAGTTTTCCTTCAGCCGACACTCCGACCTACAGTTTAATCACGTCATAGCGCTCTCCGCCTGTACTTCCTGTCTCGCTCTCCCACTCGGTCTCCTCGTTTTCCCAAAGCACTTAAAATAGTACGACAATGTGCCAAATCTGTCCTGAGGAAAACCAGCTGGAAACATGACGCCTCAGTCCACTAAGTCTGAACCTTAGTCACTAAAGAGGGCTTAAATCTGATCGCCCAGCTTCAGCCTGCTGCTGTTTGCTGATGTCATAACACATTAATATGCTTGATTACCTGTGCAGGTGAGCAAGACTGGTGCACAGATACTGGTGCACATGTGTGTGCATGTTCCTTATTTTCTGGTCGTTTTGTAAATAAAAAAATATTTTCCTCTGTTTAAGTTTTGTTTTGCTTTTTTAATTTCATAAATAAATGTTTTCAGTGTTTTGAGCCTCGTAACCTCAGGAGTGCAGGACACGTCCACACGATAAAGCTGCCGTCAGGTTTGACGCCTGCTCCAGTCATTGCATTTTGTTTGGCGATCAATCAGCACCAGCGTTGTTCTCCAGCTCGTGCTGTGACGATGACAGTTTGCATACATTTTGTGAAATACACAAAACTTATTGCACGAGAACGTTTTTATTTTCAGTGGTGCAGATTTGAACCTGCGCGCTGTCGTCCTCTCTGCGACGGTTTGAAATAAAGACGTGGCCCCGATGCTCAGATTTCACTTCATTCTTCAACAACAGAGCTCTGTGCTGTGTGATCTTGTCTGTCTGTGGGTGACACCGAGTTTGTTGCTATCAGCACGTTAACTGCTGATCTAAATCTGGCAGCAGGCGCGATCGTGCCTCAGTTCACACGTTCAAAGAAGAAATAAATGTTACTCAAACTGGCTTTGGTATTAACATCAGCTTTTCACACCTGCAGAGGGGAAGACGGTGCCGGTGGAGAGCAAAAATGGAAAGAGGACAGAGGGAGGAGGCGGAGGAGATGCAGGTGGAGGCCCAAAGTACTCCGTGTTCACCTGGTTTGTGGTCCTGGGTCTGCTGGGAGTCTGGAGCTCTGTGGCCGTGGTCTACTTCGACATCGTGGACTACGACACCGTGATCGGTGAGTTGGAGGGCGGGCGTGATAACATGGTGTAATTTAATGGAAGCAGACGCATGATTGATTCAGTGCCCAATTTCCTGAAGCTTTTATTTTGAAGGGGTGCAGACTTTGAACAGCTAAAAGCAGTGAGGGATTGTTTTCTGGCAGAAGAGGGAAGTGGCTAACATGCGTCGATGTGGTTGTTTTGCAGAAGTAAAGCAGACATTCAGCATTTCATAAACCTCATCTTAATCTTCCTCCTGAATGAAGATGACATGCAGATTATCCTGTGATTATAAAAGTCAGCTCGGGTGAATTGCTCAACGTGTGGGGGCCCCACACGTTGCTTCAGTCAGCAAACATCTCACCAAGCAGCAGGCCGTGTTTAGGAACAGCACTGCACGCTGGTCACATGCAGTGACAGTGGGATGTGTGATAATCTGTTCAAACATCGAACTGAGGCAGCGCCTGGAGGTTCAGACGGTCCAACTAGTGTGGCCGTTTCCCGGCTGTTACAGTTTAATATCCACAAAGAAGAGGAAGAAGAAGTTCACATAAAATGAGATCGTCTTTGTTTACACACCGCTTCTGATAAAACGACACAAAATTCCAAAACGCTTTGTCGACACGATGTCGTGATGCTTCTAAAGATGAAAATGAGGAAGCAGATTCTGTGCTCATGAGAAAGCTGGCTTTTCAGTTTGTAGGCAGCCAGTGAATGACCCAGGGCGGACTCAAACCCAGGCCACCGTCGATGGGTCACCTGATCACTCCAGAGCGCTAAAGCAGCTCTCAGATCAGTTTCCTGTGCGTGAAAGACGGCCTCCTGCCATCTTCAGGCTCTGCGTTTCAGACCACTCCTGTTCATCTCGATCCGATGCTTTGATAACAGACTTACTGAAAGTTTTGATGTCAGCTTGGTAAACATCTTATCTTTTGTCTGATCTTTCACTTTCCCGCCTCTTTGCTGAGCTGCAGCACCACCTCGTCGCTGTTGCTTCATAAGTTTTCACAAATTTGCTCCCAAACTAAAAATTATTTACGAGTTAAGTAATTTAACTGTGGTCGGTACAGACGACCCAACATGTCTTTACTGACCCTGGACCATCATTTATCCTGACGCAGAGTTACCTGACCAATCACAGTGCTGTCCACTGATCGGGTTTATTCTCAGCTGTGGGCTCTCCACAGTGGATCGTGTCACGGTTACATCTAAATGTTACAAGACGACGATCCTTGGCAGTCTTTCTCTTCCTTCGGGTTCGTCTCCAACGTGAGAGCAGCGTGAGAACGTTTGTGGAGTCCCGCCGTGTGCAGAGAAGGAGACGTGCATCTGTTGGCCTATTTGGTTTGGTTCTCAGCAGCATTTCTGTCTGGGTCTCCAGCGTTCACACACACTGAAACACAATGTCAAAGTAGTGGTTTTTGTACAGGAACCCGGTGACTTCTTCATGTGGTTTGATGCCGAGTTTTCACAGCGCCTTCCTCTCAGTCAGACGTGAACAAACACAGCGTTTCAAAAGTACAATAGCGTTTTGATCTGTGTGCACAAAAGTATTCCACACATGCGTGCTGTGATTGAATGGTTTCAATGTGCCGTTAGCCGATTGTGGGGAGCTCTGAGTGTCTGCAGCTTAAAGCAGTGATGCTTTTTGGTGTGTGTACCAAAAGGAGCGAGACAAGCGGGAGGAAGTGAGCTTGTGGCCTGGAAATACACATGTTTGCTGTGGTCTGTGGTTGGTTGGGTTATTAACAGCTTTCATCCTGGCATACAAAAAGCTTAAATGCCATCCGAGGCCAGGTTGGAGCTTTGGACGACCTCCGGAGAAAACGGACCCAAGATAAACGTGGAAGAGCCAGAGGGAAGTTTGCTGAAATGTGTGCTCGCTAGACTTTTGGTCACGTCTTACAATCACTACAGTTTCAAAATGACTGAATGTGAAATACAGCCACCAGTTCCTCTTCTGTTTTTGAGCTCCTGACTCCAGTTAGGGTCAGTAAAGTAGTTTGGGGGATGTTTTTGGTTTTGTTTCTTGGGCTCTGACTGTTTTTTAGTCACGCCAACTTTGCTGTTTGATCACGCGGTTCTGATCAGTTCATCGCCGAGTCACAATTTCTGCAAAGCAGTCCTGAGCTATCAGTCCCAAAATACGACTGGAGGGTTAAGCTTCCAGGTTAAAGAACGCCGTCCATAAAATCTGCACAGGAAACGCTGAAACCAGGAGACGGCTGCCACCTGTCGTGACTCGCACACCTGAAAGCAACAAGGATGCGTGACAACGCCACAGCGGACTGATCTCAAGACCCTGGTTCCAGTTCTTTGTGGGAAAATGCGCTTTTTTAAGTGAAAAGTAACAACAGCGAAAACGGCGACTCTGCTGTGTCACATTACAAACTGATCCTCAAACTTCCCTCCTCAGACTGATAAACGACCTTGTATCTGTAGACATCATGACTCCATTGTGCACACACATCGGCCACAGCTGTGAGCAACTTCCTGTTCAGCTCTCAGTTACGAGCTTTCATTGTATGGAAATGATAACCACAGTGAGACAGGCTAACTGAGACGTGAGCGCCGTTGGTTGACTCTGGTTCTGTACAGCAGTTTGGATCACGTCATGGCGTCAGCTGCACAGCGTGCAGACATGCAGACGGCGAAATCCTGTCAGGGTTTCTGCTTTTTAGTTTTTTCAGACAGATGCAGAGAAGGAGCTGCAGGCCGGACTCAAACCCGGGACGGCTGTATGGCATATGGTCGCCCGCTCACCCACTGCGCTAAACCGATGGCTGATTCAGTGTTTCTGTAAAGGAAAGTGTGTTTCTGATACTAGAAATGAATATTAAATAAATTCTAACAACAGCTGATCAAGCTTAAACGTGCTGCTGCTGTTTAGCGCGACATCGCTGGTTTCCTCTTTCTGGCGCAAAGTGAGTGATAAACAAACGAGAGCCGATCAGCTGATCATTGATCAGTTTCATGATTGAAGTAGAAACAGGAGAGGGAGGGGGGAGGATGAGAGGAGAAGAGGCAGCTGTGCAGCAAAGACACAGAATAACTCCAGCTTTGTGTCTTTTTCATTGTAGCTGAATTACGGGACAAACTGTTCCTTTTCACCTCAATAAGAAACGCGTAATATTTTCTCTGAATACCAGACGGGACGGTTGGCAACTCTAATAACTTATGAACAAAATAAAGTTCAACATCAGTAACTATAGCACCACCCAGCTGTATAGAAACTCCGTCATGCTAGCTAGCACGCAGTACGGAAAAAGTCAGAATAACGAAAATAAACTCCACCTAAACTTGGTTCATATCTGACCCAGAGAGACTGCAGGTCATAACTTCTTACCTGAAGTTCAGTTCACTACCTGGACCGGCGGCCGCCTCGGGTCTCTCCTCCCTCCTCCACCTGCTGGCCTCCACCACTTGCTAATGTTACTGAATCTGTGGAAGCTCCGCGATAGCCACCACACGAAGTAACGAGTAACGACCCTATCTAAATCCCAGTAACGAGTAACGCGTTCCTGATTTTGGCATAATAACTAGTTACCGTGCTCGTTACCACAATAATAACGTAGTTACTGTAACGCGTTACTTAATAACGCGTTAGTCCCAACACTGCTTCTGAGGGTGCATTAAATACATTAGAGGGTTAACTAGGCAACTGAGTTTGGGATTTTATGCTAGTGACCGACAGCCAGCTACAAGAAAATATATGTTTCTAAATGAGCTGGCCACGCTAGCACTTTGCTTGCCACCTCACCTCTCTGCCACGTTTACCTTTGTCCCCAAATTGGATTCAGGTTGATGGGTCAACAATTCTGACAGTTTAAATATAAGCACAGAGACTCACTGAATCAGTCAGGTGTGCTGGAAGTGGTGGGAAGTGCACAAACAACTTTATTGGGGACGGCTGCTGTTTTTTGCTTTTTGTGGGCAGAGTCACAGAATTTGTGGTTGTACTTGTTTCTGCAGCTAGCACGCAACGTGTGTGTGTGTGTGTCTGTGTGTGTGTGTGTGTGTGTGTGTGTGTGTCTGTGTGTGTGTGTGTGTGTGTGTGTCGTGTGTGTGTGTGCTGTGTGTGTGTGTGTGTGTGTGTGTGTGTCTGTGTGTGTGTGTGTGTGTGTGTGTGTGTGTGTGTGTGTGTGTGTGTGTGTGTGTGTGTGTGTGTGTGTGTGTGTGTGTGTGGTGTGTGTGTGTGTGTGTGTGTGTGTGATGTGTGTGTGTGTGTGTGTGTGTGTGTGTGTGTGTGTGTGTGTGTGTGTGTGTGTGTGTGTGTGTGTGTGTGTGTGTGTGTGTGTGTGTGTGTTCTGTGTGTGTGTGTGTGTGTGTGTGTGTGTGTGTGTGTGTGTGTGTGTGTAGTGTGTGTGAGTGTGCTGTGTGTGCTGTGTGTGTGTGTGTGTGTGTGTGAGTGGTGCTGTGTGGTGTGTGTGTGTGTGTGTGTGTGTGTGTGTGTGTGTGTGTGTCCTGGAAGGTTTGTGTTTTCTAATGCTGATAACCATCGTTCGATAACGTGAGTCACTGGGCAGACCGGTTTAAAACATGGTCGGGGACAAAAACAAGTCTGCTGCTGTCTAAATGAACCGAACTGCATTTTGTAAATAAGAGAAGATTGTAGCAGAAAAGGTTGTTTAATGTCTGTGAGGCAAAGTGTCTCTGACTTCACAATCTGCTCGGACAAGAAGGAAACTGAAAGCAGAGTGAGTGGTGGAGCCTTACAGGCTGATATCTCCTCGCTGCAGCAGGATCTGTGTAATAACGTCTTTATCTGCTGTGTAAACGGTGCATATGTCATATGTTTACATCCCGGCCCTTCACAATAAAAGCCTCTCACTTTGCTGCAGGTGTTTCACTGTAAAGCAGAGCCATAAACTGTTTGTAATGACTGTGCTGATCGAAACAGTGACTCTGCAATGCTTTAACCTCCTGTGGCCTCTTCTTCCTCCCTCCTCTTCTTCCTCTTCTCTCTGTGTTATCTCTGCACGCAGCCAGAGCTAAGGAGTTTCGTATGAACTTTTCTGAAGTTTTACAAGGTACAGTCTCAACATTTAACGCGCCATAACTACACATCCCCATCCATCGTATTACACCCTGATTCCATCAGAGCCCACTGTGACTGCAAGCTGCAGGTGGAAGAATCACGTTTCTGCTTTTAAAATAGTTTAAAATGAACTTTCGACAGAGTGTGAACAAACAGCAGCTGTGAAGTTGTGTCCAAGATGATGAAGAGAGTTTGATTAGAGGCAGAGCTCTGCCAGATTGTACAGAGACTTAATGTAAGGGAAGTTGCATTGGTAACTACGGTTCTGTGAATTCCTGGGTGACTTTCAGTGGTGGTAAACGAGGTGGTCACCTTGTGTCCCCTTGTGCTGTAAACACAGCCGCATGTCTGAGTGTAGGCCGCCTGCGCGTGTACGCTGTTGGTTACCACGTGGCAGCCAGCATCCATAGCAAACACTCCAGGTGAGCAGCTGTTATCCAGGAACTGGCAGAGCCGTAGTTACCTGCATGACTTCCTCTCTGTTCCGTTCACTTCTCTCATAGATCTGAGTGTCTCTGCTCAAATCTTATCTTGTCCTGCGAGGAGACATGTCTACCTCGTTTACTGTCACGGGGCATCAGGAGGGAATGGAAATAGAGCCTTTATTAACTCAGTATGGACAGGTTTTATGAAAATGAAATAGAAAGTTAAAAGGTTAAGAGATCGGCCTACCGCCTGGTAAGCTCCTGCCTGTGGCCTGGTCTCTGAGCTGCCAGCTGTAGAGATGTCTGCTTTCTCTTTAATATTTAATATGATGGGACTAAAGGTGCTTGTTTTATATTTTACTGTTTTATAGGCTTTGGTGGTCCGGCTAACTGAGAGGTCCACAAAACTAAACAGCAGCATTTGAAATGCTTTCGATTTGTGGTTTGAGTCGGGGTCTGATCGGTGGGGCTGCTGCTTATAACAGACAGAATTCTCCTCATCACCACATCCTTCCTCTTTTAACAGAGACACTTCCTCTGTGCACTTTAACACACTGATGCATGCTTTTATTTTTGTGACTATTTTTGCCTTTATTTGATAGAGCAGCAGTGAAGCACAGGCATGGAAGGGGGGCGAGAGAGAGCAGGGGGAAGGCACACAGCAGAGGCCCGCGGGTCGGGCTCGAACTCAGGCCGCCACATTCATCGCCACCTGCACGCAGAGAGGATGCTTTTAGTCTGTTTCTGTCACATGGTCAGAGCTTCATTTATCACTGCTGTGACTCTGAAGCCGGCCCTGTGACGGCATCAGGCAGAAAATGACCGAAACAAGACCGAAGGCCTGATTCACTAATGTGCAGCTAAACCATAAAGAACGAATTATTTATAACATGCTGCAGAGATGAAAAACATCAAAAACACACTTTGTTACATTTTCCTTTGTCCTTTTTCACCACCTGAGCTCTTGTAGTAACATCCTCTCATTACATTTTCTTCCTCTGCTGTGGTTTAAAGGCACCAAATAGAGAACTGATACCATCTTAACAAAACTGGTGAATGCAAACCATGGATGGACACAGATGTAGCCACCGTGATGTCAGCACAGAGATCAGATTTTTCCTTTCTTTCTTTTTCTGGCGCTTTGAATCCGACTCTTAGAATAACCAAAATTTACAACAAGAGCTTAAAGTTTTATTCAGTATGATCCAAGACGAGCGGCACACAGAAAATATGAGACAGAGAACTTTAAAGCGTTGCAGTTGACTCTGGTAGCTGCATGCACAAACATTTTCGTGTTTTTCAGAATTTGTTGGTCTAACTTCATCTCCTCTTCCTCCTCCAGGTAAACTGACGGCCTACGACACAGACGGAGACGGAGACTTTGACGTGGAGGACGCCAAAGTTCTGCTTGGCAAGTCTGCTTTAATTTTGCTGTTTGCTGCCCACTTTTCTGCCTGCCTGATGTGGTTTACAGACGTGTGACAGTGCCTCGGATTCAGAGATTAACCCGTCGAACATAAACTGAGCTTAAAACCAGCTGAAGCATCACAGGAAGCCACAAAGCTCAGGTTTAACACAGAGTCAGCAGCGTGACTGCAAACGCAGACGAGATGCTCAGAGATGAAAGTGTGTGGGCCACGAGTCCATTGCTAATGGAGGAAAAAACCCTGAGATCAGACGGTGCTGTGAAACAGGGGAAGCATGCAAATATAAAGACGACTGCAGAACTGCAATAAAAATAAATGAAAATGAGCTGCAGCTCAGGGTTCTGACAGTTTAAATGTCCATCGCTGGCACAAAGAAGTGCCTCGTCTACTGTATCAGTGTCCCTGCAGGTCGTTGCTAAAATCTGTCAGGTATGAATTTATAAATCAAGAGAGGAAGGTCTGAAACGGTCGTGAGGCACAGCAGGCGTGTTGTCATGTTTCAGGGTGTAGTTACACGGCGCAAAGTTTTGATTGTCAGCTGGTTGGTTGGGAAAAATGAGACAGTCAGTAAGGGTTGGATCTCCAGCATGAAGAGAAAGTGAGGTAAGCTTTTCCCACATGAGAGCAGGACGTCATGGTCAAGCTTCTTCAAGTAATTAGTAAACAGACATCAGCTGAACATCTGGATGTTATAAGAATTGGCCTTTTGGTACGTTGTCATAGTTCTACTTCCTCTTTCATGGTTAAGTTATACATTACATATGCATATTATTACGAATCCCTAAGCCACAGAAAGCTGGCACAGCAGCCCTTCAGCCTTTCTCTGAGACAGAGGGTCGTTCGGTAGACGCTCTGACTCGAGCTGCTGCTGCTGGACACTTCTAAGATTGGGTGGTTCGCTCAAGTCTTACTGGGTGGAGACCACGGGGCGCACTGGAGAGATTATGTGTCTCAGAGGGCTTGGGACCGCTGAAGGGTGTGTCCGAGGAGAGGTCAAGGAAAGGGAGGCTCAGCTCGCTGCCACCATGACCTCGAACAACATACGGAGAAAATGGATGGAAGGATAAACGTTCTGTAAAGCCAAAGAGTTTCACAAATCCTGCACAATAATCAGAGAACATCAATGATCAGAGTGCTGAAGGGACACTGTTGAATATTTCCATACCTAAGTAGAACTAGAAAACCAGACCATGTTCCCTCCCTTCTACTTAAATTTAGTGTGTTGAGGTCTCAGACGGGCCTTAAACACGTTCATTATTTCACTGGTTCAGATTTAGCACTTAGTGTTACGCTGCTTTTACAAAACCTCGACAGGATTGTGAACATTTGTGGCTACTAGAGCGGCTTCATTACACAGCTGTCTCCAGTTTGAAAACGAGTGTTTAAACCAACCACAGCACAGCCCGCCTCTGATCTTCAGGTAGAATGGATCTGCTGCAGGCATCGCTTTCTGTTTCCATGATTTGAAGCTTTTTTTTTTGGACACTTTTCTTTGAGTTTCTCAACTACTGTCATTGCCTTCAACAAAAGCGGACGTTTTCATTTGAAACCTGTTTATGTATCTCAAAGATCAGTTTTCTGCTCTGTCCTTCACTTCAAAGATGATCTTATTATTTATGAGGCCGAGAGCTTTTACTTTTTTAGGTTTTGTTGTCAGTAAACTGAAGACAGTAACCGAGAGTGCAAACAGGAGGTGGTGTTTTCAGACTCTACCACGGCAGCTTTGCATGATTCCCAGTTTAGAATAATCCTTCTTTGTCTGGGCTGTGGGCAACGCCATCAGTTCATCTTATGTCTGATCTGAGCCATAGTATCTGCTTCCTTTAAGCAATGTGGGTGGGGCTTGTGTGAAATGACCAATCAGGTAAAACCCTCCTTGTGACATCACACAGATCTAAGAATAGAAAAAACAGCTTGAACCTGAGTGTTTAGATCAATCTGCCAACTCATTGTTTGAAACTTTGTTAAAAATAAACATCCAGAGTTTGAACAGGTGATAAATAAGAAATGTATTGAGTCTTTGTTTTGATAGGGCCAGGCAAGTATTGCAACAGAGTGTTGATAGCATCCGCTGGCAGTATGACGTCTTAATGGGAAGCTGTGTTATAGATGTCGTGTTTGAAGTAGACTTAGCAGGAACGCGGCCGCCTCTGTTCGTTTTTATTGAGCGGACGTCGTGTCAGAGGTCATCTGACGTGGTTGAGACAGGAAGTAAAATCTTTATTAAATGTCTATAATTCATCTTTAACTCACTATCTTTCTCTTGTCCTGTCTCATCACCCTGTATTTATTTATTTTACCACACTTTTTTGTTCCAGTTTACTCCCCCCGTCCATCCTCCCTCCATCGCATCATTTCCACTTCTTTTCCTTTATAATTTCCTCCTTTGATCCCTCTGCACTTCCACCCGTCCCTTTTCTTCTCTTCCTCTCTCTTCCGTCAGGCCTGACCAAAGATGGCAGCGGTAGTGCGAATGCCGAGTCGCTCGAGGAGGTTCTTAATATTTTAGCTGAGGAGGGCTCTGATTGGATCTATGGCTTCTTCACCTTCCTTTATGACGTAGTGTCCTCGCCCTTAGAGCCAGGTGAGGAGGAGGAAGCGGCGGCCTCTGAGATGATGGAGGAGGAGGAGGGCGGGACAGCCTCCTCGGATGACGGGGAGGTTAAAGGGGTCATACTGGACCTCCAGAACCAATAGGAAGCAGAGACACAGGCGGTAGGGAGGCTGCCTGGTCCCGACCAGACTGGGATGTGCTGTAGCCCAGTATGATTGGAGGAGGCCAAACAGGGCAGACTGGTCCGAGTTTTAATTTAATAAATCCGAAACACCACAAGCAGGAAGAGCTGAAGGCTGAAGGGATTCCAGATAACGATCGATCTACGGGATTCGTTTGTTTGACATTAACAGATTTTCTCCATCAGATAAAAATGTCCTGCGAGGTCAGAGGTCAAACGGTAAAGCAGGTGCTAGTGGCAACTGGAGGAAAACTGAAGGAAATTCATTTTTAGGGACGATAACGAGTTTGAATTTAACCCAGCTGTTACCTCCGCTCTCATTCATGATAACATTTTTAAACAGACAGAAGACGTAAGCGACCGACCGCGAACAAAGCGAGAGCTTTGGTGCTGTAGCTGTACCGTACGGAGGGTCGAAAGTGCCAGGATAACAAAGTAAACAAGCCAGTAAATAATTCACAATACAGAAATAAAATACTACAAGACACCACTGACAACCAGTCAAAGGGAAACAAACAAAAAATAATTCAATAGAAAAATTCAGACTAAATTTATTCAAAAGGGAAAGTAATCATTGTCACGTTTTCTGAAACTATAAACAGCTTTATTCATTTCTGTATAATTTATGATGCAGTTACCAGTGAAATATTCAACATATTAGTCATTTAATTTGTTAATTAATGTTTACATTTTTGGTCCTCCGTATAAGCGTTATATAAAATCAGTTATCCTTAAATGTCTGTCGTCACAGGTCAGTTTTATACAAACTCAAGGACACGATCTTTGATGTCACAGAGGGCGTTTATCCTCTTTATTCACCTTTATGTTCTCATCTTTGTGCGCAGCATAAATGTTTGCCTTTTATGACTTATTTTATCGTAAAGTGCTGGACTTACTGCACAAACACATATGTGCGTAATGTATTTGAGCCCATAAGCTGTTGTGATTATTTTCTCTGCACACGGTAACAAAAAGCAGGGGTGTGATGTGAGCGTCCATCACGTGGTTTCATTCAGGTCAGTTTTAAAATCTTTACGGCGACGTTGCTGAAACTGATCAGAAATCTGTCGTTTGAGTAGTTTTTATTTGTGGTGTGTGCTTCTGCGTTGTTACGTATTGATCAGTCATTTCATACCAGTGGCGCAGAAACATAACTCGGACTTTTGTGAGGTCACTCGGGAGTTTCCAGGGTTATAAAGAAGGTTTGCTGTTTGTGTTTGTGGCCTCACCTGCTTCACAGCAGATTATTGCTGAGATAAGAGATCAGCTAGTATGAAATCACCACCTCTCACCAAAGTCCTGCCACAACCCCTCAGAACTCAGAGCGTGGATGGTAAGAGGACCAAAGATTGTTAGGTGTAAAAACATGGTCACTGTTCTATAAGCTCAGCATGAAATCCTAAAATAGAGCACTTACCGCTCGTATGTGTTGACTTCTCTCTTTACTTGTTCCCCATTTATCATCAGCACGATTGCAGCTTTCTAAACTCTGCACAGGTTTAACCCTTTAGAGCCGGTCGGAGCGGGCACGCTCCATTTTGCGTAACTATTTTTAAATCCCGGTAGCTCTGCAACCACGTGAGCTAACAATAATTTTTTTTGCATATGAAACCGGAGGAGTTGTACTTACATCTGATGCCATCAGCTTGTCCTCGGTCACGGTTTCCTTCCACATAAAGCTTTGCAAAAACTGCATAAAAAGCACTTGCATCACCAAAAACAAAATATTCCAGAAACGCGCTTTGCCGATCCGATCAGCTGTTCATAACACTTCCTACGTCCATCAGCGCGAACTATCCCATGTCCGCCATGACCTGCCCGAAACCAGAAGTGACGTTATTTTCACTGAAATGTAGTTTTTACCATGAGGGCCTCATGAGCCTATACTGGTGTTTTTAAAAGATATGTTTGACTTTATGACTTTCTGTGTCGTTTCTGGGATGCTGAGGACTCATATTGCACTGCTGGAAATAGTTTATTTTGATGCATATGCTGCTTTTTTGCAAATTTGCAGTATAATATTTATTTTTGTTTTTCCTGCAGTGTATAAAAATTGGTGTATTTCAAAAATAAAACTATGAAGACACTCAAAATAAATTTCCTGTGGTGGGAAACTATTTTGTGCAACTTTTTTGTATTTACAGTTTTGAGGGATGAGCCTCTTACATTTCTCTAACTAGAAATATATGTTAAAAAAACAAAAACGATTTTCAATTTTTTTGTAGTTTATTGAACTTTTTCGCAATTTA